CCTGCTGACTGGTGCTGATTTCCTCCTCCTTGTTGATCCTCCAGCCTCTGCCAGGGCCGAGACCCCCTCTGCCCCCTGCGTGGAAGAGCCAGGTGGATGCAGAGCCTGAGCTGGGTGAGGCCCCTTCTCGAAAGCCTCTGGTGACGGCCCTAGTTGGCTGATAGCCTGCGTGTGCCGACACATGGGCCCCACGTGGGTAGTCTGAATGGCAAGGCCCCGAGTGAAAATGGCCTTGGCACAAGAGGGGAGGAGGGCCTGGCTAGAGGCAGAGGCAGGAGGGGGGAGAAGGAGGCGGGGCATTGGTGTCTTCCTCGAGGTGAGGGGGAAGGTCACTCTCTGGCCTGGGAGATGTGGGCCCCGGGTTCTTCAGCGCAGGAGCTTGCAGTTTGTATGCGGTCGTGGAGTCTTCCTTCATTCTTCTAACCGTGAAAGCCTCATACTCTGAGTTGCTGGGGCTATTTGTCTTTTTGAAATGGTGTGTTAATAGTTCATTTTGAACTAACTTCATCGGTTGGTGTGTTTGCCGTGATTGACTTGCAAGCCGCCTGGAGCAGGAGGATTCCTGGAGATGCAGCAGCAAAAGGTTCTTTGGAAGGCCTTCTGGAATCTCCACCTCTCTGACACCGCTTGACTTGAGGTCTGCCCCTCCCGGTCCAGATGGAAGCACCAACAAATTGGCCTCTGCTTTAGGGCCTCCTTGAAAGCAAATTGCCTGTTGCTGCAAAAGCGAGTCCCTTCTGGTCTGCACTAAAAGCTCACAGAAATCAGTGGCTGTTTGTACAGACAACATTAAATGAAGTTGCAACACTGACATGGCCCTGGAAAGAAAGGTGTGTGTGTGTGTGGGGGATCATTGCCTCACAACTGCTTGGCCCTCCTGCCCATGGCTTTTGGGGCCAGTTCTCTTGAAAGCCCACAGTATGCTGTTCCACCAGCTGAGGTCTCAATGTCTCCTCTGAAAAGCATTGCCTTTGATGGTGACCTCCTGTGGACATTGGCTGGCTTACACTGGTCTACAGCCTTCCCTCTGAGTAGTTGTGCTGATGAATCGGGGCCTCTTGAACTGTCCCAGTTCCTCTTTCTCTGGTGCATCTTCCCCAGGGCTAGAGCAGCTCTCTAGTTGGCACCTCCAGGCGTTCCCAGGGAACTGTGGGGGAGGAAGTGTTCTGGCAAACGCAGCCCTGTCCTGGGGCCCCTTGGGAAAGTGAGGCACAGTGGGGCAATCAGGCCAGGAGGGTGCAGGGATGCCACCACATGGCTGGATGGTGGAGGCGGGGCCTTCGCTGGCTGGGAGAGCAGGGCGTGTGCGCTTGTAAGTGCAGGACAGGAAGCTGCTGCTCTCCAAGTGTGTGGGGGGGTGGCGGCGCTCAAGCCGATGTTGCCTCTCTGTTCACGGTGAGGCTTCGGGTGACTCATGCAGGGCTGCATTCCCAAGAACGCTTGCCTGAAAGTCAGCATAGCTGAATGAAATGGGACTTGCTTCCCAGCAGGCCTGCTTAGGATTGCTCCCTGTGCCTGTGCTGTCGTAGATTTTCTCGGCTGATGGACTTGGAACTGAGCTCCCCTGAAGGTGCACGGGACAGTAGCTGTCGGGCTGCAGGGCTGCAGTCAGTCCCGTGTGGCAAGGCCTGGAGAACCTGCTGGAGTAAAAGCGAAGCTCTGCTGCCTTTTCCAGCGGCCTCACCTTGCATGCTGGAGAGCCGTTTTCGGGCTGACCCCTCAGGAAACCGTCTCTGGCCAATGGGGGAAGCAGGGCCGGGAGGCGCCTTCCGGGGGATCTTCTCTTGAGAGGAAGGCGGCTGTGCTGCTTCCTCCGCCACGGGCAGGAGAGTGTCTTGCTGCCACCCTTGTCAGACACTCCCGCTCAGGCACTCCCGCTCAGGCGGAAGGGCCTTGCAGAGCAGCCAGAAAGATTCAGACTGAACTTCTCCAGGCCACAGCTGGAAACGGTTTTGTTGACCACCTGGCTGAGGGACTGGGCCCTCTGCTCCCCTTCGCCCTGGCGCCTTCATCTGCGTTTATAGGGACGCCACGTAAGGTGGGTGCAGGTGGACGGCCGTGTTGGTCTGAAGCAGCGGAACAAAGCCTGAGTCCCCCGGGGCACCCTGGAGACCAACAAGATTTTATTCTGGGTATAAGCTTGTATGTGCGCATGAACGCTTATAGCCAGAATAAAACTTTGTTGGTCTTAAAGGTGCCCCTGGGGACTCAAACGTTGTTCACGTAAGGTAGTTTGTATCCTTAATAAACGGGCTGTTCTGTGGAGTGGTTCCTGGCACGTGCTTCTAGAAGTGGCCTGCATTCCTACTTTCCTGTGGTGGCGGTGACTACTGTATGGGGAGAGCCCTGCCGGCCTTTCAGGGGGGTGTCACAGGTGCCCGGTGTCTTGGGGGATTCCAGGAGACCACTTTTATCAACCTTTCCTTTAACCAGCTCGGAATGCCCATGCTAGAAAGGGGAGAGAACTGGGTGTGCCCGAGCTGGGATTTTAATGAATCTCCGCATCAGGGGTGTCTTTATGCATAATCAATTGATGCCCTGTGAGGCCCTGCCCATTTTTTTTGGGGGGGTAGTGACTTGTGAGCAGTCCCTGCTGTCCAGTACCTTTACTTGCGCAAGCAAGTTGGCACTCAGCAAGCGGCGGAAGATGAATGCATCCGGTGGGAAACGGAGCCCAGAGCCTTTTGCCTGCCAGCTTCCTCCTCCCGTTCTCATCACAGGATCGGACCGAAGTGGGCAGGTGCTTTTCAGGGGAGATGCAGGGATCTCTGGGGAACAGGCCAGCCCACCTGAGCTGTGCTCCTCTGGAGTAGGCCACATGGTGTGAACCGGTATGACTTGCTGAGAGGCACATTCCACCTTCCTTGGGGGGCTGGCTCTCCTAGGTGGGCTGTGGAATGTGCTTTAACCTGTTTGGACTGGTAAATGAAATTGCAAGAGTTTGGTGATTTGCGGCCTGCTGAAACACTTCCATTGGTCTTGTGTGAGTGTGCGTGAGCATCTGTGAGTGAAAGAGACCGCCCTTAAACCCAAGTTTTTGTCAGTTTCTAAAAAGGTTCCCAGAACAGCAGGAATAAAATCTCCTTCCTGTCCACGCTGACCTCCCTTCCTCAGAGAACTTGGTGGCCTGTTGAACACTCCCCGCCCGGCTGGTGCAGGGAATGGCAAAAGAAGCCAGTTGGGCCTTAGCAGAGAAGGGCTGGCCTACCTCCCCCCCTCCCCCTCAGGAAACGAGGCCGCTCTGCGTTGAGAGGAAGGAAGCCCTCTGCATGAAGCTGTGCAGCGTTGTGGTATCTCGTCTTCCCCTGCATGCCTGGCAGGAAATGGCAGCTCTTCAGCCAGAATGTGAGCAGTTTTGAAATGAGTCTTCAGTCCGTTTGTGGTGGGCAGTTTTCCCTTCTGCCTCCCCCCCCCCCCCCCCCCCCAGGCCAGGCCAGGCATCCCTGCTCCCAACTGCAGCTCCCTGGGCCGCTCAGGGACTCCCACTGGCCCCTTTCCAGCATTTGAAAAGAAGCTGGTGACTAAATGCTTCCTCTGAGTGATGTCAGCTCCTGGACTCTTCCCTGGCTTGGTGCAACGTGCAAAAAAAAGGCCTTATTTGGCGCTCCCCATTCAACGGGCCCTCCCTGAATTAGCACAATAAAGCTGCTGTTATCTGGAGCTGAATCATCACCCCCGGGCTCCTGCAGCCAGGCCTGCTTGGGGAGAAGCCCTGACATTTCTCCAGCCCTGCGCCAGTTCAGCCTCCCCTCCTCTGTGGCCGGAACCACGAGGTCACACCTTACGAAGCCAGACCCCTGTTGCCTCTCCCTAGTCATCTGTGGGGCCTGATTCAACTCAGGACTGTGCTGTGCAGGGAAGAGGGGGTCTCGCCTCCCCCTGTACTCAGCTTTCCTGGGCAGGGGGGGGGGTATTTGCCTTGCAGCTCATTAAAAAATGGTGGGATCTTGTTTGACCCTGAGCTACCCTATTAGCCTCTTTAACCAGCTTGCCTTTTGTGGGGAGCTTTGGGCAGTGCCAAGAGGGGCTGTGTCTGTGAGCAGCTGAACCCGTCCAGTATGGAGTCAGGCCAGTGTTCCATTGAGCGGCAGATGGTCACCACCGATAAGCAGCAGCTTCTCAGAGTCTTTGGTTGGGGGTGTTTCCCGTTTGCTCCACACCCTCCTAAGAGACACATTTTGTACCAGAGATTTTGACTTGGTTCATGGCTTCTGTGCTTCTGTGCTGCCTCCCCTGCTTTTTGACTGCTCTTGACAGAGACCAGGGCCACATTCCATATCTCTGCTGATAGCAGAAACTCTTTGGCTCTGATCACAGGACACCCTTTGAATTTGACCTGTCATTTAGAAGTTGCTTTTGGAGTAAAATGCGTTCCTCTAATTTCCTAGGGCTCGATGAGGTGCAAAGTGCCAGCCTGTGGGTGCCATTGGGTGGAGTATGTGGACCGTGTTCCGAGGAGGAGTAGCAGTTAACTGACCTGGAAATGTCTGTTGGCCCCGGGCACGCCTGTTAGCCAAAAGGAGACCCACAACTGTAACTCGGAG